GTCTTGTCCCGTCCATTTGGTGAAACATGGTAACTCCACTTGTGCCGGCGATGCATCACTCAACTTTCTACTCTATTGAGTTATGATGGTAGGATATAGGCATAGCACGGTGGTAACGGGTTGGCAAAAAAACATGCGTCAATTCCGGATAGGGAGCCCGAGAAACGGGTGCCACATCAAAGGATGGTAGCAAGCAAAATGCCCAATCCAGGAAGAAAAGGGAGGGCTGTGACAAGAAACAACAATACATGGGCCTTCCGAGATGGTGGGATTGTAATGTCGAATTGTGATCCATTTGCGAGCATGGGGCGTGCTCTCAAACCACGTTTCATTTCCCAAACCTACCGTGGCAGCGAGTGACATACGAGGGGAAGGCTGGTGCCAGCATATGCGGTAAAGTCAGACTCACTATGGTATACTCAGGTCAGGGTTGGGAGCCGCGGACGGACGGCCCGCACAACGTCGCCGTCACCACTCTATTTGCTGGGCTTAAACCCCCACGAGGCAAAGAGGGCTTTAGAAACTTTGGCTGGATGGAACAGCAGTCACAGATGATGGGCTGCAGCGTCATGGACAACAACTGAGCCGATGAAAGGGATGATGCAACATGATCGGCTCCATCACCATGGCTTGTCCGGTCCGTTTGGTGGAACACGGGACCTCCGCAGGTCGCATGCCTTGTGCCGGCACCGCATCATTCACTATTTTGCACTATCAGCTTTCGATGGGTTGTTATAGGCATGCCATGGTGGTAACGGGTGTCGGAGAATGAGGGCTCGGTTGCGGATAGGGTGCCTGAGAGACGGGCACCCTCCTTCTTCGAGCGTGCCCAAAGCGAAAATTTATGGATGTTTCACGTTCATAATGTCCCAACCTTGCAGTCAGCTGTTATCAAAACGGATTACTTTTTGCACTGTTACCAGACCCCCGTCCTCACCGGGCGCACAAAAGTTGTCGTAGTATCACTTGTACGTCACCCGATTCCACTTTTCACTCGCGCTCCGCAACCGCATCTCCTCCTCTTTCCCACTCCCGCTCTCGCGCTCGTGGCTGCTTTCGCGCCCTCTTTCCCTCTCGCCATTACAGTCGCTCTCGCGCCCGCCCCCGGGCTCTCCCAGCGCCCTTCGCTTTTTAATTCTCGCCAGCCTCTGCCCTCCATCCCTCCAACCGTCCATCCGCCGAAGCTCCGCACTTCTCGAAAACCGTGACCGGACCAATAGCGCCCTGCTCCTCCCACGCCTCTAGTATCCCCCCTCGTCCTCATGTACGACCGATCGCAAGCATGTGTATGATCGCACGCATGTGTACGACCGTATACATGCGTACGACAGCAGGCATGTGTACGAGCGCAGGCATGTGTACAATTGCAGGCATGTGTACGAGCGCAGGCATGTATACGATCGCAGGCATGTGTACGATCGCACGTGTACACAAGGTCATGTATCCCTGTTCTGCCGCGAGTTTTCGCTAGCATCATTACTCCTCCCATCTCCCTCGCCATACTCAACCTTTCCCCCATCAGCGCTCCTTCTCTCGTTCCGCACTCACAGTAAAGCACATCCACGCCTTTCGACCCGTAGTCCTCGACGCTGCTTTCCACCATCGTCCGGGAGATGCCATCCGAGCATTGCTGGGGTGGGGAGTGATTTTTTCTCCATGCAAGACCCGAGGCTCGTCCGCCTCAGCGCAAGCCAAACCCGAGAAGAGCCTGCGGTGCCTCCCGCGTGCCCGTCCCTTGTTCGCCTACCATCGTTTCTCCCCCTTTTACGGCCCATAGCCCTTGGCAAACGGCGAAAGGCTCCGGGACGCTCCCACCATCTGCGCCGTCGCGGCACTGCACCCAGCGTACGCACTCACCTCATTGCAAACCCTCTTACGTCACGAGGGGAGCGAAGGGCTGTACCTTGATGCGGGCGGGAGGCTCCATAGTGTGCTCTGCGCCCGGCGACCGACATGGCAGGGCCATCACATCCGTGGTTGCCAACGTCACCCACGTTCTGGACCAACCTGCGGTGGGACGCGCACGACCAGCAGCCATCGGGAGTGGCACTGGGCAGAGGCATGGCGGTAAGCGAGCACACACGGGGAGCACGGGGGAAACATGGGACGCGGCCCACACGTACTTGTCAGAATATTATTCTTATGTTCTAGCCTGTAGTGGGGTGCTCTATAGCGAGTACAACCCTTCTAGGGTTTGCTATTTGTATCCCCATTTCTGCTAGTTCAATCCTCTTTCTTCCTTCTAATTTTGACATGCTATCAGAGCAGGTCGATCCCCTTGGATCGATCCTGTGGGTGGGTTTCCACCTCGCTTCCGCTGCTACCTTTCCTTCCCGCCGTGCGCCCCGAGGCGCGCGGCGGTTTTCCTTCCCGCCGTGCGCCCCGAGGCGCGCGGCGGTTTTCTACCCGCCGTGCGCCCCGGGGCGCGCGGCGGTTCTTTGCCCGCTGTGCGCCCCGAGGCGCGCGGCGGGCGTCTGCCCTACCGTCGCGGCCCCGCCCTGCGTCGCGGCCCCGCCCCTCAAAGCGGCCCTGCCCTACGTCGCGGCCCCGCCCCGACCGTCGCGGCCCCGCCCTACAGTCGCGGCCCCGCCCTACGTCGCGGCCCCGCCCCGACCGTCACGGCCCCGCCCTACGTCGCGGCCCCGCCCGACCGTCGCGGCCCTGCCCTACGTCGCGGCCCCGCCCTGTGTCGCGGCCCCGCCCCTCGAAGCGGCCCCGCCCTACTTCGCGGCCCCGCCCCTCGTCGCGGCCCCGCCCCTTTTCGCGGCCCCGCCCTCCAACCAGGCCCGTGGTGGGTCCCTTTCACCACCCCGCCTCCCCCCCCCCCCCCCCCCTCCCCCTCCCCCTGCCATTTCCCGTCGTCCGTCGAGGCGACCTGAGGGGCTGTGGGGTGGCGGGTATGGGGGTGGCCGGTGTGCCTTCCTCCCTTGCTCCTCCTCCTCCTTCGTCTCCCACTGCTGCAGCTGTCGCTGAGGGGGGTGGTTGTGTGGGAGACTGGGGTTTAGGGTTTAAGGGGGGGTGCGTGGGAGTAGAGCTAGCGGTGTAGCAGTGGGTGTGTATCAGGGGGGTGGGACTGTTTGCGGGAGGTTGAGCGGAGGCTGCCGGCTTGTCGTCCGCAGCACCTGTAGTCCGGGGCGCTGTCCCGGTAGCCCAGTCGTAGCCAGCTGTGCCAGCCGCCCGTGGGTCCGTTGCCCGTCCGCCGCTATTTGAGCCGCGGGGCCTGTTACTCCTGTAATCCGGGCGCTGTCCGGTAGCCGCTGTGCCAGTCTGCCTCCTGTTGCCCGTGTGTCTGCAGCTTCAGTCGTCGCCTCCTGTCTCCTCTCCCCTCACTCTCCCTCCTCCTCCTCACTTGCCCGTTGTGACTACCACTAGCTTTGCTTATAATTGTGAACTCTAAACTATTTCTTCTTGAACTTGTGCTCAGAATGTGTGGTGACATTGTGATCCACCCTGAGCTTGTTTTGCTTTGCCTGCTCTGCTGATTACACCCCACTTTGGCTATGGGGGTGTGTCAGAATATTATTCTTATGTTCTAGCCTGTAGTGGGGTGCTCTATAGCGAGTACAACCCTTCTAGGGTTTGCTATTTGTATCCCCATTTCTGCTAGTTCATTCCTCTTTCTTTCTTCAAACTTTGACAGTACTTGTACTGTAAACCATGATGACCTCTGCACGATGTTGCTACTCTCGGCCGTCCTTTCACCGTCCATGAGCCTCTGATCCCTCTCCGACACGCGGAAACGCGCATGCCCCACCTCCACATCGCGCGCGTGTCTCGTCTGCGGAAGCCCCCCCTCCATGGCAGGTACGAAGCTCGGCGTTCGGCAATGATTGACGATGATGGCCGGGCAAGAGATGCGGGGGCACGCAAACTTGGCAATGTTAGAATTCTTATGCGCGCTGTTAACCGGGCAGTGGGTATGCAATCCGACGGTACCACAGGTAATCGCGCTGTAAGCGTCTCGACTACGAGGCGTAGGGTGAGTCTAAGGTTCCGCTGCCCTGCTCCGCACTCCCACATGAACCTGCAGCCCTGAAGAGCGTGGGGGGGGGGGGGGAGAGGGGGGTACTACGGTACAGGGGGGAGGAAGAGAGGAACAAGGGGCCGAATCCATGTGATTGGTTGCACACACACTCGCACACTCGACCGACTGCATATGGATTCGAAGGGACGATAGTGACCACTCACCTTACCGTTGGTGCTCCCGCACGAGCGTCTTCGCTTCTCAACATGTGCCGTTGCAGCCCGTAGAACCCGAGGACGCGGCCAATACCCGTCCCTGGCGAGCACAGAGGTGGGGCGAGGGCTGAGGTGGCGCGAGGGCCGAGGTGGCGCGAGGGCCGAGGTGGGGCGAGGGCAGAGGTGGGGCGAGGGCAGAAGCGAGGCGATAGTATGGATGACGCGAAGGCAGGGGTGGGGCGAGGACACGGGCGAGGAGAGGGAAGGAGTAAGGATATGGTAGAGGCAAGCAAGGGCAGATGCAAGACGAGGGCAGGGGTAAGGCGGGACTGACATGGGGTCGCCTCAGTGAGTGCGTTTGAGCCAATAATCGACACAAAAGCCCCCCCCTGCATAGTGACTGTAACGACGGCGCCCCATTGTGCACCCCTCAACGCCGGCGCAAATGCCTAGATGCCACTTCAACGTTGCACACGACACGTTGTTCGTCCCCCACGACAGTGCAGAGGTTCCGCGTGGACTGTTGCTTAAAATGCACTCACTAAGGCGATAAATGATCATGCATAATAAGACAATTACTAAATAGCAACGCTGAGTTGCTCCAGAAAGGTAGAGGTGCGCCTTGGACAGCACGCGGAACAGCAGGCGAAGCAAAAGAATAGTACGTGATGCAGCAGGGGAATCACCTGCTGAGGAGCATTGCACTAGATACAGCAAGGGAAACTCCTACATTAGCAGGTCCAACAGGTTCACGATCAGGAAAACCATGTCAAGCACAGGAGGCAGCTCGTGGAGGCAGAACGAAGCGACTAATGTGGCGCATGGGGGAGAGACAGTTTAGAATAGCGAAGGAGGAGTTGGGAGAGGTGAAGGGGGAGTCGGGAGAGTTGAAGGGCAAGCTGGCGTACGTGAAGGAGGAGTTGGTGGGACACGAGGTCGGCATGGCAGAGAAATTGGCAAGAGGAGCGGGAGCGGAGAACAGACGAGTTCATGCTGGAAGAGGAAAAGATCCGCTCGATACATGTGGAAGAACTTTCGAAGGTACGGAATGAACACCTAATGAAGCAGGGATTTACGCGAGGGAAGAGCAGCACCTGTGGGAGTTGTACAGGAGACAGCAGCAGGAGCAGGAGGATTTTATCCCCCCTTTGCTCTCCATCTCTACCAGCCCCCACCCCCCCCCCCCCCCCCCTTTCCTCCCTGTCACTCCCCGTACTACCAAGATTGGACGCCATGACTGTGGTGCATACCTGGAGGGCGGAGGCGACAAAAGGAGCAGCATGAAGGACTGTGGTGCATACTTGGAGGGCGGAGGCGACAAAAGGAGCAGCATGAAGGGGGGCGGAAATGCATCCATGGCAGCAGCAGCACCTCTAACACCCTCGCCATCGCCACCTGAGCCACGCCCAACACCCTCGCCTTCACAACCAGCTCCTTGCTTCTCACCCCCCACCGGTTCCGCATTGCCCTGCCACCGAACATCATAAGCAGCAGACCAACATGCATGAGCACTATGGAAAGGAAACAAACATACATTTCCCAGTCTCCCCTTTCTCCAGAGTGTAGGTTTGCACGTGTAGGTCTGCATGCCTAGCTGTGCCCCGCACTCCCACATGCACTTGTTCCTATGGGCCGTGGTGCAAGGTTCAGCACTCGCACATGCACGCGGAAGGGGAGGGGGGCGGAAGAGAGGAAAAAGGGGCTGAAATTGCTCGCTCGCAGATACACTTGTTCCTCTGCCCCGACGCCCCCGAACTGAACCCCACACTCCCATATGTGATTGTTGTCCTGTCGCGACGGAGGGGAGGGGAGAGAGTGACTGAGATTGAAAGAGGGGAGAGGGCAGCGACTAGGGGCACGAGTGGGAAGGAGGAGCGCGACGTAGGCGAAATTGGGCAAGCGACGTGGGCGGAATGGGGCGTGCGATGGTGGCGGAATGGGGTGTTCGACGGGGGCGGAATGGGGCGTGCGATGGTGGCGGAATGGGGTGTTCGACGGGGGCGGAATGGGGTGTTCGACGGGGGTGGAATGGGGTGTTCGACAGGGGCGGAATGGGGTGTTCGACGGGGGCGGAATGGGGTGTGGGACGTGAGTGGATTGGGGCGTGCGACGCGGGCGAAATGAGGAGTGCGACGTGGTCGAATGGGGCGTGGTTCTTAGGCGGAATGCGGTAAGCGACGTTGCCGGAATGGGGTTTGCGACTTCAACGGAATGAAGCGTGCCCGTGGGCGGAACGGGGGTGAGTAACCGGGAAAATGACAAGGTGACGTGGCGGCGTTGAGTCGGCCCGCCCCATGCGCGCGATGCGGCATGGGTTGCGGCTTAGCGGGGAGCCGTGTCAGCTTACGACAATGTGGCGAATGGTGCGAGGAGTTCCGGAAGCAACCGCCGTGAGCAGACTGCATGGCGACGAGATGGCGACGCGGCCGCGCGCTGGCGAACGAAGGTAAGGCGAACTGGGTACAGCAACAAGTTCCTAGATCGAGTGGCAGAAATACTTCTGTTGTGCAGGAACGATGCGGATGTTCCTCTTCCGCCATGCGCTGCTACTCCCCCCCCGTTCCGCCAAATGTTCCCCCAACCCTACACCCTGGTAAAGTAAGCCGTGTTCCCCCCTAATGCTTTTCCGGAATGGTTTGCAGCCAGAATTTGGATGCAGAATTATTTGGAGGGTGTAACGAACTAGAATTTATAATGTAGAAGCTGCTCCTAGCAAGGACAGCCCCGAGCTCTTCGCATCGATGTCTGAGTCGGCCTAAACTTCGGCCCGAACCACTGCCGAGTCAAACGCGCCAATCGCGACACATCCGAACCACGCACGTCCCGAGGTCCGCGCCTAGCATGTATTCGGCCTACAAATGCATGCTTTATTCATTGTCTCGTGAGTCTGCAATTCATCCTCATTACGAAGTCATCCTCTTGATATCGTGAAACCCTCAAGTTACGAGCTCTGTTATGAATGAACCTGCAGAGTGGGCGGAATAACGGACAACGAAAATAATGAAACACGAAACGACAATACAATGAAAGTGAAGAGACCTATATATGGGGAATCTTATCTAGACGGAAAGGTCGGGCGATGATGACTACGGAGTGGTTTGGCCGACGAAATAGGTCGTACCGAGTTTTGTGTAAGGGCCCATACCAGCCCCTAGCGGGCACATCTCCGGGGTCACGCGACCAGATTTTGCGCACCCAAAACACTCACCAGTCGCCTCTGCGCCAACCCGGAACCTTTCAACACAGCCTCGTCCAACCTCAACGAACAGTTAAGTTTCCCTATTGGCTCACTACATTCCTTCAACCAGTCATTCCATATTGTCGTTACGAGTGCTCGTATTTTTCAGCCCACCATTCGGGGAAAAAAAACTTAAACACATCCAGGAATTTGCCACGTAAATAAGAAGACTGCCCAAGCGCGTCTATTGTATGCAAACGCTTAACTTGAGCTCCCCTTAAAAGCTACAGTGTTATAAAATTTGTAAACATTTGAAGGTTGTTTGATCCGTCATACTTACGGTAGTTCAAATTTGGCCTGATCAATCTGACTTGGTACGAGAAAAAGAGGTGGGATTTCATAGTTCACGAGTATACGTAAAGGTCCGATAAGCCAGACATATCATCAGTAGGGAAGCCCGTAACCTGACATAACATAAATGGAGAGGCATGTGTTGAACTACAACAATCGAGAATTTAGCACATTTTCCGTCACTCCAAACCAACCAACACGATATCAAGCACGTGAACTATGGCTGACATGTGACAGCTGTCAGAACATATAGCTTACTTGTTTGTGTAGGCTATAGTGGGGTATCCCATAGGGGGTACAACACAATTAGGGTTTCCTATTTGTACTCACTTCGTTCATACTCATTTCATTCTCGTTCAATTCTTCTCAACAGCTGCCGCATAATAGGCGACTTTTCGCGAGTGAAAAAGCTGGCATCGCATGTTAGCACGGTTACACGCGTTGCGACGGACATTAGGGACTCGTGCAGTTTGATCACCACGTATTCGAAGAAGGCACATGCGTGTCCCTCACGTGTGAATTGTGCTAGAGCTTTTTTTTCCCAGCATCCTGTCTCGCTTTGTTGCGACCGTGAGACAGCCGATCAAATGCAGTGGGTAAGTAACGCATTGAAACCTGTTGGCACTTAGTCTCATCCATTCTGGTCTCATCACTATTTGTTTGTTAGTTGAAGCCTTTGAGTTTAGCAATGTAAGTTGGTCTTGGCATTAAGTATGCTGCTCCTTCTTTTGCTTTGGTTTTTGCTGCGTGACAGTTCTGCTGGCAAGAGACCAAAGCGGTCACATGGAGCAGGGAAGGAGTTGACATGAGTAGCAGCAGCTGGGGTTGGGGGAGTGGGGGGAGTAAGCGGAGTTGGGGGAGTGGGGGGAGTAGCAGTCTCCGCCCCTCCTACTACATCCGCTGCTGCCATGGATGCAGTCTCCGCCCCTCCTACTACATCTGCTGCTGCCATGGATGCAGTCTCCGCCCCTCCTACTGCTCTTGCTGCTGCCTTGGAATGCAGTCTCCGCCCCTCCGACTGCACCTGCTGCAGCCATGGATGCAGCCTCCACCCCTCCTACTGCTCCTGCTGTTGCCTTGGCCCCTCCTACTGCTCCTTTTGCTGCCATGGACGCAGCCTTCGCCCCTCCTACGGCTCCTTCTACTGCCATGGACGCAGCCTCCGCCCCTCCTACTGCTCCTTCTGCTGCCATCCTACTGCTCTTTCTGTTGCCACGGACGCAGCCTCCGCCCCTCCTACTGCTCCTGCTGCTCCCCCGGCGCAGCCTCTACTCCTCCTACTACTCCGCCTCTACTTGTTAATACAGTTCCCTAGTACATCCTATTCCCTAGCCATAGGAACTGGTTTGAGCTCGTTCGCACAACTATGCAGCACGTGGCGCTTGTTCGTGCGTTCCATGGTGAATCTGTGCAAGGTTAGGCATGGGCGCAACATATCAGGTCGCCAAGGTCTGGATGTATTTTTTGCCTCTATCCATGAATACAGTTCCCTAGTACATCCTATTCCCTTGCCATGGGCACTGGTTTGAGCTCGTTCCCACAACTATGCAGCATGTGGCGCTTGTTCATGCGTTCGATGATGAATCAGTGCAAGGATAGGCATGAGCGCAACATGTCAGCTCGCCAAGGTCTGGATGCATTTTTTGCCTCTACCTATTAATACAGTTCCCTATTACATCCTATTCCCTAGCCATAAGAACTGGTTTGAGCTCATTCGCACAACTATGCAGCACGTGGCACTTGTTCGTGCGTTCCATGGTGAATCTGTGCAAGGATAGGCATGAGCGCAACATCTCAGGTCGCGAACGTCTGGATGCATTCCTTACTACTATTTATTCACAACGATCCCTATTACATCCTATTCCCTTGCCATAGGAACTGGTTTGACCTCCTTCACACAACTACGCAGCACGTGGCACTTGTTTGTTCGTTCCATGGTGAATCAGTGCAAGGATAGACATGAGCGCAACATGTCATCTCGCCAAGGTCTGGATGCATTTCTTGCCTCTACTCATGCCTATCCTTGCACTTATTCACCATGGAGCGCATGAACAAGTGCCACGTGCTGCATAGTTGTGCGAACGAGCTCACACGAGTTCCTATGGCAAGGGAATAGGATGAGTGACTCCAAAAAACTTACCCAGACACGTCAGAGTGACCCCCTAAAAACCACTCTGATTTTCAGAGAAACAGAGTAATTTGCTCTAATAAAAAAACCCTTGATCCAGACCTTGGCGAGCTGACATGTTGCGCTCATGCGTATCCTTGCACTGATTCATCATGGAACGCACGAACAAGCGCCACGTGCTGCATAGTTGTGCGAACGATCTCACACGAGTTCCTATGGCTAGGGAATAGGATGTACTAGGGAACTGTATTAATGAGTAGAGGCAAGAAATGCATCAGGACCTTGGCGAGCTGACATGTTGCGCTCATGCCTATCCTTGCACAGAATCACCAGGGAACGCACGAACAAGTGCCACGTGCTGCGTAGTTGTGTGAAGGAGGTCAAAACAATTCCTATGGCTAGGGAATAGGATGTAATAAGGATCAGTGTGAGTAAATAGTGGTAAGGGATGCATCGAGACGTTCGCGACCTGATATGTTGCGCCGATGCCTATCCTTGCATAGATACACCATGGAACGCACGAACAAGCGTCACGCAAGAGCAAGAGCAATATTGGTAATAAGAGAACGTTCGTTGCTTGCTCACAAGATTGGTACTAAGAGAACGTACGTTGCTTGCTCTCACAGGGTGTAAGAGCCTAAACAACATCAACAACAAGAACAACAACAATAACAACAACAACAGGCGGCGGCGGCGACGACGGCGACGGCGACGACGACGACAACGATGACGACGACAACGATGACAACGACGACGAAAAAAACAACAGCAACAACAGCAAATCAATCTTATCTGCAAGATGCTTTCAAAAGTTTCAAATATAGGGTTTGGAGTTTCGCGTTATAAGTTATAGGCAAAAACATCGTGCCTGGTCAAACACAACGATTTTGTTTTCGGTTTTTTTTTATAGCTTAGGGTTTCACTAAATCAAATGCACAATACATCGGCACTCGTAACTGTACCTGGTGAGCCCAGGGGGGTCGCGCCTACCATACCCACCCTTCGCCCACGTGGCCGGCTTTTCTAACGTGTCCCGAACTCTATCAAGGGTTCCGCGCTCATCCACGTCTAGTTACGCTTCAGGACCTTGGCACGAGTGTAAATCCTTGACGTACGGCTGGAAGGGTGCCGCAATTCCGCGCATGACCCTTCTTGCCCAAATTTTGCTCCGCTCAAAACCGCATCACGTCTCTCCAACCGGATCTTGTGCAAAGCGATTGACATGATGGTAGCCTCGGAAAAACCGAGCCAGAGTCAAGAACATCGTGTCTATGCAAGAACATCGTGTCCAGGAAAGAAAACATCATGTATAGGCAAAAGCATGGTGGCTGGATAGGAACGTCATGACCAAGCAGAAACATCGCGGCTAGGAGAACGTTGTGGCTAGACAAAACCTTCGTGTTTGGTAAAAAACATGGTGACTAGGTTTGCAGGCGAAAAGATCGTGTTTAGGCAAAAACATCGTGTATAGGCGAAAACATCTTGACTAGGCGAAACTATCGTGGCGTAGGGAATAGAACATCTTGTCTGTGCAAGACGTCGTGTCTAGGCAAAGGCATCATGTCTAGGGTTCAGGGAGGCCTTCAAATCCGACAACAGCATCATCTTCGTATCCAGCTGGCTTCTGATCCCCCGGATAAAGACCTCGGCGCCATCCACTCCTCTTTCCAGAAGGACATCAGCGGCATCCACTCCCCCCCCATCACCGTGTTCGGCGTGACCGTCGCCGTGGCCCCACGTCCCGCCATTGCTCCAGACCCCAAACTCCAGCAACGCCTTTTGAACGGCCTCTCTTCACCACTACTCCGCGCCCTTTCGCCCGCACTTTAGGCAGGCCTCCGTCTCCCTCTGTCTCTCCTCCAACACCCCCAGCACCCATGACCTCTACGTCTCCACTCCATACCTCCGTGGACCCTCCCTCGCTCCGATTGCCACTCCCCCTCCCGCGGGAGGAAGGCCCCTCCACTTCCCGGAAGTCCACTTCCTCGACGAGGCGCGCGAGTGATCGTGGATCGCAGCCTTTCCTAGCTCCTCCTGACACCTGTTCCCCCCCTTCCATCTCACCATTAATCTAGCAGGGCAGGGCAGGGTTCAGGGCAGGGCATAACAGGGCAGGTCAAAGGCGGGGCAGGTGAGGACAGGACAGGGCAGGTGGGAAAGAGAGTGCGCCCGTAGGGGCGACTGGGGCACACCCGTACGAACAGTTCGCCGTTGAATAGGAGGCGAATAGTTTAGCGTTCGGATATGCGCGTTTTGGGTGCACTGCGTTAGGGTCTTACGCTCTTCATGTGGCGTTTGTAATAGACGTTCCACTCCAGGAGATCTTCTAGGAGCTCCTCACGCCACCAATCGGCACTGCCGTGGAGGTCAATATGCTCAGGGTCCCGAAAGCGCGAGAGCACCAGGTACTGCATATACTTCATCACAAACACGCCGCAATTGAAATCGTCCGTTTGCTGTGTTGCCTGCAACAGGAGGGAGTGGGGCGATGTGAACAGGGTAGGATTGCGCGGCCAAAGAACGGATACGCAAGCAGACCGTCACTGCGAACCCCTCACCCACCTGGACCTGGACGGACGGCACGCGGGCAATCCTGTCTCTTGCCTCCTCCTCAAACACGCCTAGCTGCAACTCTCGCAGCTGCCGCTGCAGGTACCTGCCAGTGCACCTCCACTTGCTCGAGTGATGGTTTGAAATCACAGGGTTGCTCGAGGCAGGGAAGGGGAGCTCGGGGATGAGTGCTTACCGCCGCAACGGCGCTTCGAACTCTATGTGCATGGACAAGGAGTCGACATGTAGGACGCGGGTGGGGCGGCGTGGCAGCGTCGGCGAACGGTCGTTGTCAAGGATGATCATGGTCCAATGATTTCTGCGAGTCCCGCCGGGTTTCCGTCAGCGAACGCACAACAGCTTAGGGCACAGCGTGTAGAGACGGGTTGCAGGGACCCACCCAAGTGTTCGATACCCAACTTACTCTTTGTGCAGCGGGATGAAAACCCATCTGAACAACAGCATGTTCTCATGCGCAAGGACCGGGTATTCTCCTGGCCCACGAGGTCTTGCGATTATAGGGTAAGTTAAGGTGGTGCAGTACAGTCACGAAAAGTCCTCATATTTGTTTACGTACTGGAGCATCCTGAACACCACCACAAGGAACGAGGGCATGCAAGGTCAGTACGGGCAGCGGGCATAAATTCTGATGCGCTGCAATTAGGGCACTTACAGTCTCAACCACTCGATGACTTCTCCAGACACCCATCTCCCCGGTCGCAGAGTGTCCACTTGGCCCCTAGTAAGCTCAAGCCATGAATCCCATGGGGATACGGCATCTCGAGTTCCGTGGAGTTTTCCGCCCGAGTCTCGCTGTGGGAGTGCTCGTCTGCCTCGAGCGCCATGCGCAGTAACGGGGGTTGCTTGAGTTGAGTGTATCGCGTACGTGAAGCGAGAGATGTGGCTAGAAACCGACCGACGTTAGAAAGCGGCTGCTTAGAGGTTCGCGCTGCTTGTTCTCGATCGCGCAAGGCTCAGGAGACCGGCAAGCCTGCGTGCAACACCATTAGAGCTGCGTTTGAGGGTCGTCTGGCATGGCACGGGAATCGCAAAGCCGCCGGGATGAGGTAACCCCAATAAATGGTCTCGCCATGATTCGGACACATCAGGATGTAGCTTGGTCTGCACTCGGGTTGGGGACTATCCCAACAGTTTTGAAGAATCGACTGGCACGCTACCGGTCCGACGACCTCCGCGCTGAAGATCCACGGATGCCGCTGTATTGCTCCCGATCTACGCTGTTCCTCCGTCGCTAGCTCGTCGTGCTCCCAAGAACATCACGACGGGCGATAATAGGTCGAAGAGCGGGCGTGCGGGGAGTATGAAGAGTATGAAGAGTCGCTAGCCCGTCGCCTTCGCGCCCGCGCCCGCGCCCGCCCGTCGCCTTCGCGCCCGCGCCCGCGCCCGCCCGTCGCCTTCGCGCCCGCGCCCGCCCCCGCCCGTCGCCTTCGCGCCCGCGCCCGCCCCCGCCCGTCGCCTTCGCGCCCGCCCCCCGCCCGTCGCCTTCGCGCCCGCCCCCGCCCGTCGCCTTCGCGCCCGCGCCCGCCGTCGCCTTCGCGCCCGCGCCCGCCCGTCGCCTTCGCGCCCGCGCCCGCCCGTCGCCTTCGCGCCCGCGCCCGCCCGT